AATCTGAGGCATGAGTGCTCCTCTTGTAAATTGAGTCATCTTTTCTGTACTTTTCTCTGATATTGTGTCATAGCTAGATAGCTGCATACGCAATTAAAATCTGATGCAAAAAAAAAAAAAAAACAGGGGCCTTTTTCTGGCCCTGCGAAGTAACCCCTGTTGTCAAAGCTAGCTAGCTGAATACAATATGATTAAAAAAAAAAAAAAAAGAAGTAACCCCTGAGCATCCAGCCGACCGTATTCTTCGATTTTTCTCCAACACAATCAGCGTTGTATTCTTGGGAAGTTTAGCTCATAATGTTAGAGGATCAAATTACCATCTTCTTATTGAGGAATGTACGAACAATTCTTGTCACCCATTCTCTAGAATTTCTTCCATCATCTACCCAAGTCACGTCTGCCCATGAAGCTGTTTTTCAGTCTTGAAATGTCCAATTTAGATGAGCTTGGGCCCATTCTCAGCATGTCTTCATAGTTTTTAGAGATACTGGAGACTTCAGACGAGCCACATGTCCCCGTTATCCTCTTTTTTTAAGTTCTCTTTGTATTACACGCTCACTAACACCAAGATGTCTAAAGGAGCCAGAGGCGAGTTCCATAAATGTTTTGCGGCGGTTTAAAGGTAATACTCAACGTGATATAATCTGATCATCATCATCTGCTTTCAGCCTCGAGGATGTTCTTTTTCTATTTTTGGTGGAGACAGTTCCGCGGCGCAGTGAATAACTAACTTGTCCCCGAGAAATGCCTAGTTTCACGGTAATCTGCGTCTGAATTTTGCCAGATTCATGGAGCCAATAGATCTAAAATTTTTCTTTAATTTCAATTCGTTAATATTTATTCCTTCGTCTTATTAACATGTTTTGATCTCTGGATAATTGTTTGATTCGAGGTGTTGAAGGTGGGGTTTCAGGTGGATTCATCTGCAAAATAAGGTAAATATCGAGTAAATCCATGTGTCTTCTGAATAAATAACATTGTATTTGAGAAATCTTATTTTTATTGTCACTCAAGCACAAGATGAGAAGAGCTGTGTAATTTTTTAGCGGTCGGCGGTCATAAAAGTGATGACAAACAACTGGAGAACAGGCTGGATTTGCATAAAACTGAGAGTGACATGAAATCAAATTGTGCCCTTAGTTTAGGCCTGGAAATCCAGGATAAGAATTATGTACCATGCCGAAACGGGCGCTAACAGGGGTACAGCCCCTGAAGCGAATATGTGCCCCAATTAAATCCACTGCAAACTTGAAATCTTTTTTTTTTTTTTTTTTGCATCAGATTTTAATTGCGTATGCAGCTATCTAGCTATGACACAATATCAGAGAAAAGTACAGAAAAGATGACTCAGTTTATAATAGGAGCACTCATGCCTCGGATTTCATTTACAAGTACCACTGCGAAGTTATGGTGGCTTCTTCTTCACCCCAAGTCAACCCTCATCCGTGAATACCCACCCAGGGGAACGTCTCAAAAACCCTGAGTTATCCAGGCATGCCTCCATCATCTTTCAACCTTTCTCCGCGCGAAATGTGGTCTTAGGCATCTCCTTCCCAAGTGGAGTACGTGCCCAGGCTACTCAAACCATACCAGAGAACACCACCAGGATGTGGACCACAACACCTTCCATCGTTTGCTTGTTAGTAGGTGAAATAGTTCTCCTTGACATTTCCGCTCTAGAAAATTGCGCTCGTTTCACTGCGCGATACTCTCGACAGCCACCAACAACGCTTCGAGCACGGGCAGTGCTTGACTCTGAATGCCAGTAAAACTTAGCGCTGAAGTGATCAAAATGCCAGTGTTGAAAAGCACAGATCGCAGGTACTCTATCGACTTCCTAGTCGTTAACACGGTAATACATAAACATGCGGAGTACCTGTCACGGTTTTATATCTTGCTACTTGAATCAACATTTATCTAGCACATAGGCATCCGCCTTGACCAAGACCAAGACTTAATCAGTGCTTCCATTAGAATTTGTTACGAAAAAAAAGGCTTTGATCAAATGCGTATGGTGAGTAGCTATTTAGCTCATTACTGTTATGTGGAAGTCAAGCTCCTTTTCGACGGAAACTTGAACCAAAAAATGAAGAGCTCTCAGAAAACCGGTAGTCTCAGTCAGGCGAGGCCTGGACGCAGGATTCGTATTTTCAACTCTTTCACTTTTCTCATGGCAAAGAGATCAAGTTTATTCATTCCATGACTGTATCTGGAGCTAGGTATGCTCCGGAAAATGATCAGAATTCTTTCCCATAATCAAGCAAAATGAATAAACGGCGAGTATAGATGCGGCCCTACTATCTGTTCCGCTCGTAGCTAGCTTGATGATAATGATGATGATGATTATAATGATGGTACGGAGATTTCCTGAAGATTGGTTCTTTCCAACAAAGAAAAAACTAATGACTCAGTAGTTGATGTTGTAGAGCGCATTCATACAAGTGTTTACCGAAGTCAAACTAAGTACAGAATTTGTAGTCACTTGTGTTTCAACAACGTAGCCTAATTGATAGCCCAAATTATCCTAATTTCCAGTAAAAGCCAGGTTTCGGTATCTTGGTACTAGTTGGAATCGAAAGGGCAAACCATCAGTGTCAATTGGAGAATAATGAAAAAGAAGAATATGTAAAAACAATTAATTGTTAAATAGCCTTCAAACAGCTTATAGCAGTCCTTCATTTCCAAAGAGTCGGTAAGGACTTTAATTTAGTTATATTCTATTCACAATTGAAGAGTACGGTTTGTGCCATAACTTTATATATATGAGAGTAAACAATGCTATACATTCAGTCACAGCTGCATGGCACTTCTTCCGCGCTAGTCTGTAAAGTTGAGCCTGGATATTTCGGAAACCCAACCCACTTGAGATGTGAGATGGCTGGATCGAGCCCAGTCAGATTCGACCACATATTTTTCTGTATCGTTTGCGGACTGACGAAAGTAAACACGGCTAAATTAGAGCACTGAGGCTTGCCTCTGATTGATGCTCACGGAAGAACTGCGAATTTGTACTAGGAATGAGGATTGTTCATGTTAGTGTTTTCTAACGACATGTGGAAGATAAACTTTCTGTTATCACAAAACTAGATGTTATGACTATGAGGTACTGATCATTTGCCGTAATTCGATAACTGGAAATACTTTTAGAGACAATGTAGTTGAGAATATGCGTGTCGGAATACTCGAGTGGTATTTATATCACAAGCTTTCTATAGCAGTGATAACAATTGGTGGTTAACGTATAACTTCTATTCCCCCCCATCCTAACTAAATGAAACACGTATGTACAGCAGTTGTCCCTCTCTCCTGACGCCATTCCTAAACAGGTAACTCATTACTCATCAACATAATTAGTCATCATTTATAAGGTTATACATGAAAGGTCATTAAGTCATAAGGTCATTCAACAGTGCGGAACGTCGACACGGTGGAGTCTAGATAAATTAAATACTCCATTCGTGGCCAAATAGACGAAAATGAGTTACGTGTTGAAGTATTTAACAGCTGATGGAAGAAAATTGATAATCAAAATCAGAACCTAGATAGATTGCCAGAATCTGGTTCTCAGATTGTTGGGTCCTTATTAGTCTTGCACTTAAAAGGGACTTTACTAAATTCTTAACCTTAACGTCTACGAGTGGTTAAAGGTCTCCATATTCACTGCCGACTAGTAGCGCGTTTATTCATGCATTGTGACGTTTTGTGACTATTTTAGGTCACAAGCTGCCTTAGACTCGGACGCATGACAAGTCACGTTAATAAACAATAACGTTTACGCGACATGGAGGCAAAGAAACAACAGGAGTTGAAATTCTGTAGATTTTGGCCCGTGTCGCTCGAGCTGCGCAAGCAAGGTCAACATAGAAAGCTATGTGCCTTGAGGGCGAGATGGGCTAAAGGTCTCGTATAGTTACTCGATCAATTGACGGGTTCGGCCTGGCTAGCAGTTGCTCCGTGAGACAGAGAGCCAGTTCTCTAGTTGAAGCCTACTAAATCGGACTGGAAACTCCTTTGCTAATACCTAGTGGTGATGCACACTCATAATCTTGTTGACATGACAATGGAATGCTCAGTTGGCGGAGCGATGCCTGGCTAAGTTGGTCAAGGATCTCAAGCTCAGTCGCCAGTAATACGGGCTCGTACTATCGGGGACAGAATCGTGCAGTGCAGACTCCTTGTTCCTTGCTTCTGTGCTGTTAATTAGACGCATCTCTTTCTTTTTCACTGTAAAGAGCAACTAGTGTCATCCACAACCTCAATCTCTCTATGCTCTCTCGACCACATCTAATGGCTGGACCAAATTGCACCACGTGTAGAAAGAACTGAGTACCTGAGAAATAGGTACATCTCACAAGCCCGGTCATGGTTGTTGTAGAGGTCGTTAGCCTTTGATGTAACGGGCTCACTGTACATCAGACTTTCAGAATCCTTGCATTGTCACCTGCCCGTGCGGTCACCAAGTCTCGTAGTAGATCCATGCCGGTGGAATGGTGTTACATAGATCTGAGTCTTAATATGATAATGTATAATGAAGAGATTTAAGATAACAATTCTTAAACTCAGTTATTTGCCCTTGAACCCTTTAACTCGTCTGTAAGACTTAGCATCGTACAAGCCTCAGGTCAACGACATTCACCGAAAATAAAAGGCTTAACATTTTATATTCACCACTCGGTGAGTGTCGGAAATTTAGATGGTAGATGATTCAAGGAGAAAACAACCCATTAGCTAAATCTTCAAGCGGTATTCAGTTATTTGTGGTCCTGAATTTTCTCTATATGACATAAACTTAAGTTTTTGACTGCCGCAGCTCATCTTGCCGCCGAACCCGAGCTTAATATATCCTAGTTCATGAGTATGTAATCAGGCGCCCGCTCCTTTTACATTCAAATACACCCGTCAACCCAGCCTTCTCTGCACTCAACCCCATCACTTCTTTTCATCGGCTCTCCATCAATTTTCATCAAAACACACACCAACCCGCATCAAATCAACACCAAATGGCTCGAACCAAGCAAACCGCGCGCAAGGTAAATCACGAAAGTCATGCCTAGTTCACCAACCCTAACGCGTTCAACAGTCCACTGGTGGAAAAGCACCCCGAAAACAGTTGGCTTCTAAGGCTGGTTGGTAATGAGAAATCGCTAAATTCCTGTACTAAAGACCTTCTAGCTCGTAAAAGCGCACCCTCTACCGGAGGTGTAAAGAAGCCTCACAGTAAGTGATGATGACCTTACTCTGTAACCCAAATCGCAGCAGTCTGACTAGTCAAAGGATACAAGCCCGGTACTGTTGCCCTCCGAGAAATCCGTCGGTACCAAAAGTCCACCGAACTCTTGATCCGAAAACTTCCATTCCAACGTCTTGTTCGTGAAATTGCGCAAGATTTCAAATCCGACCTACGATTTCAGTCGTCTGCAATCGGTGCGTTACAGGAATCGGTTGAGGCCTACCTCGTCTCCCTCTTCGAAGACACAAACTTATGCGCTATCCACGCTAAGCGCGTTACAATTCAATCAGTATGGAAACTACCTCTATCACACTCCAAGCTTTACTAATGCTCCCACTAGAAAGATATTCAGCTTGCCCGTCGCCTTCGCGGAGAACGCTCATAGTTAAATTAGTATTTAACATCAAACTTTCTTGCAAAGAAGCAAATTTTACAGCTCGGAACATGGGATAGTTGGATGGAAGGATAGGGTTTAAATAGTAACGACGACACGGATTCGATAAGGTTTATTGTCTCCGTGCCATGGAGTTAAGCTGGAGTTTTTTCGCAGGCGTGTATATCATTAGCTAGGCGGAAATAAATACTGGTGACTTGTACTCTACATAGCCGGCAACATCAATAGTAACTTTTATCCTTTGTGCAATGTTGAATTAAACCAGCGGCATCACCAATTCTGACATTGTGCTCCTCACCTTTAATATTAACTGTTCTTTACATTAATGTCAAGTCCTATCAAGTAGAAGGATACGTCACCAAAAAAATTCAGACATATATCTTGTAGCCCACTCACAGATTTGTCATGAAAAAACTGTAAAACATACTCATTAAACGTGACTGATGATGTGGAAAATAATTGTCAAAATAACACTGACAAATTATACACAGCAGAGAACGGATGAAGATGCACTTTGACGCATATGGTTGACGGAGATAATTAGCTTCTCTGCGATTTGTGGCAAAAGGAAAAAGAAGCGTTAAGAACGCCGCCTGAAACATATGTCACATACTGAACACATCTGCCGACACACTCATCAGAACAAACCTCTACAACACCAGGGGACAATGAAAATCAAACCCAGCTACAAACTTTAGACACACATTACTCCTCCCGTGAAACCTTCAGAACAAAGATTGGGTAAGTTTTCACTTTTGAACGATTTAATGAGCCTCTGCCTCAGTTCTGACGATTCATCTCCGATACACCACACATTGGAGGTTAAGAACTCACTCAGAAAGCAGGAAGTTACGGAAAATGGCGATATAAACATAATAAAATAGCTACCAGAATTACGATCAGAAATGGAGGGCAAAAAAATTGTGAAGTTGGGGATCTTAACGTGCTGTTTACTCCACTTCTTATGATTAGACCAGTGCATTAGTATAAATTTCGATTTGTTGAAATGTAACTCGGTGTATCTCAATTAGAATATCATCTATGGGAACCGATTTGTGAAATCATGCACGAACGCTTCACGCACCCTTCAAAGTCAATATCATAACTTGATTTCAACACTTGCGATGATGACAAGACTAATGCTCTCGGAAAGCCAGAGCAAGAGAATCCAAGCTCTACCTTTTTTCTATGGTAAGCGCAACATGACCGTGAACCTCATTGATTGTCTCCGGCGTGGACTGTACGGTGAAGGCCAAAGCAATTATGGACGAACAAGGTTCATTGTCGCTATAAAGCAAATTACTCAATGCGATTCGGTAGTATACAAAATCAAAAAGGAAATTGTCTGAACATCTAGCCGCAGTGTCCTCTATAAGCCTGAGAGTGAAATATTTACTCTGACCCAATTCAATCAGATTTCGCAATGCCAAAAAAGTTGTCCCTCGAGGCAATGATTCAAGACCCTCCAGCAAATCAATCTCTCCTTCACAACGGGTTCGATTTCCAACAAAACCTCATCAAGTTTACAAGCATGCACTAGTACATTCTCAGTTCGATGGCCCAACCTCCCATCGACTTATCCCTCTATTCTCAGCTAGTCACCAATTTCACGCATAAGACAATATGAATATCCGCCGTAAAATGGCAACCGTGATGCACAATTCTCGCAGACAGCCCTTTAGGATGGACGTGAGTGAGATTAGGACAAGTGTATAAGATGATTAGAAGATGGATACAATTTTGGCGGGTGTGAGATTTACAATTTTGGCCAGGAGTTTTTCAGAGATAAGAGCATTGTGCGCGCCAAGCTATTGATTGCGAGCGCACAGCTTAACTTTGAAACACCACCATGGTTGGATGGTGCAGTGCTGCATTATCTGAGCTCACCTCTCAAGTAGAGTCTGCATGGAATAGACACCCATCACACTTTTGACAGTTGATCGCAGGCTCGAATCCAACAAGGCTTACTTATATTTCTTACGGTAATAGTATGAGAGGATGTCAAAATGTTTTGGAAGTTCATTCAGTAGATACTCACGGAGGTAGGTGACTTCTAAGTATTCGCGAACTGGCCATATTGTGGTATTCGCGAGTGAAATCTAGATAAATCTTCATCGGTAAGGTTGAGGCCTCATACTCATGCACTTTGCTTCTGGTCGAGTTATAGGCTCCCATCAGGTTTTGTCTCTGGCATGTTAATTTACGAAAAAATACACAATTTTGAAAAATTCAGAAATTCTCTTTTTCCATTCCTTGAAAATCGTTGAGCTAGAATTCTCGGATTGATGGTCATCTATAGATATTCGAAAATGCCTCAGGTGAGGATCAAGCGTTCGAATACGGCATCTATCATCAGTGTTGAAAAAGAAAATAGTTAAAAATTGTAAAATTGGAAAGGAAATAATGTAGCTAGTATCTTATATATAGATTCTAGGAGTCCTCTATAGTCATTGACTCAGTTAGGACTATAATATAAATCTAATCTAATCTAATCTAATCAGTGTTGAATAGACACCATTTTGTCCAAACCCCCCAGGCCTCGCGAAAAATCACAAGTATGATTGCGAATGAGGCCTCTATTCAATGGAAGCCAACAATCCTTCCTGACAAAGAGGTGACTAATTCTGAGCTAGTCGAATCTAATCAGAAAATAATGTTCCCGATACCAAGGAACCTATCAAGTTTGCCCGAGAGACATCAAGCTCAAAGAAAAAAAAGCATCTTTCCTATTTGCAAAAAATTCTACCCAACCAGCACAAAATTTTCTTTCATGGCGAGTACGCTCCAAAATTATTTGCGGGACGAGGCCCATACTTATTTACCTATGAACTGGTATTACACTGGATTTGCAGAGACATCTACAAAAAACTCACAATGTCAGTTTCAAGTAGCATAGTAGCCGCAACAGCAATGGAATTAACACCGGTGCTCCACTTGGTGGTTGAAGCAGGAAAGCGTCGAACGGAGCAAATAATAAAGACATCACATCCACTGACAAAAGTGGAGTGCTGACTTGAGGACGAATACTGACAGGCGACCATTTCTTTATCTCGTTACCAACTATCTCTACCAACTCCTATCACAAACTGGCTTGCTATCAACGGTTGCGTAAGCGATAGGTACCCAGGCTAGTAATATCACGTTGTTCTAGCGGGCCAAAACCGACTTTGTGTCGACAGCGAAGGTTATCTTACGAGAAAAGAGCTTTTCGATTCCTCCGCACTACAGAGGAATCAAAGCTTAGCATCGGGGCCATCGTCAAATCTAGTTTACATCCAGAATAACGCTGTCCTAGTGACCGAAAAGCAATTTTTCATCACCCAATAGGCTAATCAACGAAAGTTTTATGCAGTGGCCCGAGCAAGAGTAGCTACAAAGAGTACTGAGGCATGAGGTCAACCTGCCTCAAAGGATTTCATGATGTCCGGGGAACTTGGCTCTGAGGCCTTAAACCCGGAAGTTCAAGCATGAGGAGTAAGGATCGCCTAGAAGTCAGTGATGGTTTCAACCAAATCTCGAGTCGGAATCGATGATTGTGGAAGAAAAATTTATACTCAAATTGAGTTCTTTTATGGACAAATATAGTGAATCCTAAGATGCTCTTTAATGCAGATTGCTAGGCTAAAATACGAGTCGTTGGATTTAACTTTTAAATAGGTGGGACGGACTCATGCGAAAGTCAACTTTCGTAGGTAATACATTTTAAAACTATTCGAAGTAAAATCTATACGCTACTCTGTTTATGCACATGTATACCGAGCGTGAAGGAGTATTTTTTTCCACGTAACTTCTTCTGGTTACACCAAAGTCTTAAACCAATAAAATTCCATCTTCTCCAAGAGGACCACTGTTCTCTTACCAAGATCATTACTTTCTCACTACACTATTACCTCTTTGTGAATACTATACCTTATGCCGACTCCACACTTCCTGTCTGAAGGAATGATCGCTGCACTCCACCAACCCAACAACGCACCCTATGGAACACTGATAATATAACTTCTTGAGAGCGCTCAGAGAAGACTGAGAAATCCGTCACCGGGGAGATGTGACGGAAAAGGGATTGTATGAGACGTGGTTACCTTGGATCCAACATGGAGTAATCTTCCATCTATTCAAAGTTGCTTTGGAAATCTCTCACACAAGCTGCTGCAATTTTAGTAGCGTTTCACGCAGCTGGAATATGATTGTCATTTTCGCCATGATCCTCTCCGGCACCGCCTATCCTATACCACTGTGGACTTGAAATTTTTAGCTTAGGACTTTGGCTATCATGAAAAGGAACTTACTTGGGCATTATTAATTGTACTACATACTCATAGTGTTTAGGATATTGCTAGGACTCTGATATGGATCAGACTTGGCTCATTATCGAGGTGCTTTTAGTAGCGGATGAGAGGGGGAAAGAAGAGACAACCAAGGGTGTAATTCGAGATATCTGTTTGTTTACCTTACTTATCGACTTCGTGACGCCACGCAAATTGTATTACTTTGTGTTTTATCAACAATTGATAAAATGAGATTATTATTTGGTCAAAAGCGGCACCACGTTCCATGAACGTTATTCCATCATCTCGATAATTGTTTCCATCTTAATCAGTCCTTATCTGATTCCCCATTTTTTTCACGTTACGCTTCGGCATGGCGAGTTGGAGAGCCAGAAAGGTGGATTTCACGGCAGAAAAATTTTCACGGAGCCACAACCACCATCAATGGACAGCGGAACTGCCGCGATTACGGCTGTAGAGTCTCTCGCGATCTCTACAGGGGTCAACATGAATACATTAAAGACAGTGGGGTTCTTTCTAAACAAGGTCAGAGACGAACTAGTGATAGCAGGCACTGACAAGTCTGCGACACCGATGGTTGAAATAGGTAAGGTACTTGATACCATAAAGGCTCACGCTAAGATTTTACAATCGAAGCTCAAAGCTTCGCGAATAGAAGAACAGATGCTGGTCTTAGAGAAGGCAGTCACGAAGAATCTCGAG